GCGGGCGGTTCGAGGCTCACGGACCTTTCGCGGTTCAACAACAATAAATAATCAAGGCCCGACATAAACGGGCGATAATTAAAATAAGGCGGGATATATATATATATAATACACACAAATAATATTTATTAATAATAAACATTTAATCACATAATCATATTTAGGCAATTAGGCACATTAGACAATTATATATAAATAATAATAATAATAATAATAATAATAATAATAATAATAATAATAATAATAATAATAATAATAATAATAATAATAATAATAATAATAAGCATTTAAACACATAATATCAGTTAGGCAATTTCACATTTAATAATAATAATAATAATAATAATATTAATGAAATAAATAAATAAACAAAGAATCCCACATATTTCACAAATAAACGGGGCATTACACTATAAATGGTGAATTCCAAAGTCGGATCCAGAATGGTCAACACAGGTGCTGTGATCAGTCTCTGTTTCAACTCTTGAAAACTAGCCTCGCACTTGGGACTCCACTTGAATCTCGCAGCTTTCTTCGTCAACTGCGTCATCGGTTGGGCTATCTTCGACAAGCCCTCGATAAACCTACAGTAATATTCTGCTAGTCCTAGGAAACTACAGATGTCACTGGCGTTCTTCGGCGTACCCCAACTCTTCACCACCTCGATCTTGTTGGGATCCACCTCTATGCCTCTAGCCGTCTTGATATGGCTAAGGAAAGCCACACGATCAAGCCAAAAGTCACACTTCGAGAACTTCACGTACAGCCTCTCCTTGCGATGCATCTCTAGTACATGCCTCCGATGGACCTTATGTTGCTCAATGTCTTTCGATTAAACCAAAATGTCATCAATGAAGACAATGATAAATTGGTCCAAGTATGGATGGAAGACTCGGTTCATCAAGTCTATAAATACCACCGGCGCATTGCTCAACCCGAACGGCATCACCACAAACTCGTAGTGTTCATACCTAGTCCAAAAGGTCGTCTTTGAAACGTCTTTGAAATGTCAGAATCCCGAATCTTCAGTTGATGGTAGCCAGATCTCAAGTCAATCTTAGAGAACACGCTGGCACCCCTCAACTGGTCAAACAGATCCTCGATCCAGGGTAGAGGGTATTTATTCTTCACAGTAAGATTATTGAGGTCTCTATAGTTAATTCACATCCGCATCGCTCTCAACGAACAACAGGGTGCTCCCCAGGGCGATACACTTGGTCGGATGAAGCCAAGGTTCAGAAGTTCATGTATCTACGACTAGAGCTCTTGCAGCTCCTTCGGTGCCATTTTATATGGTGCCTTCGAGACAGGACCGGCTCCGGGACCTAAGTCAATCGTGAACTCAACCTGTCGGTCTGGCGATCCCCCATGCAACTCATCTGGAAATACATCCATGTACTCGCATACGATGGACACACTCTCCGGAGACAACTCATTCTTTTCCTCGATAACCATACTCACCAGATAGCCTTGACAGCTACTGTAACACCCCACTTTGATTTTAAGGAAATTCCGGACTTTCCAAAAATCAGTAAACAATTTTTCGATCTCGTTTTCGAAAACATGGGCATTATTCAAACATTTAACATCAACCAAGTCATATCTGGTTATTCATATAGTTTTCATTAACCCTTCAAACATCAATTTCATATGATTATTAGCTAAACATTATAGCATGCATAATCGAACGCGTGATATGTAATACCCCGTTTGAATAAGGATTATTTGAGATTATTAATTATGATCTTTATTATTATTGATTACCTATTTGTTATTATTATTATTATTTTTATTATTTTTAATGTCTAATTGTCATTAATGAATTAAATGCTTATCATTATTATAAAATGTTATTATATGTATTATATATATTATCCGATTTAATTTACCGTTGTAATTGTATCCGAGCTGTTTTTACGAGCGAGTCTTATGTTTAATAATCGGTCCAATTTATCGGAAGTATTTCCATCCCATTTGTTATGCTATTATGTTGACCCAATTCTTTTAATTAATTATCAATCTTTGGCCCAATTCATTTAATAATTTTTTTGGGCCCGATTAAATTTGGCCCAAGAGATTTAAGTGCCGCCTGCATTTTATCGTGTTCAAGACCGAGTCTTCCCTCATCCTCCAAGTTCAAAGTTTGGTTCCGATTCAGGCGTGAAAGATATTGCACGTTCTCTTCTATCTCGTGTATATCTACCTGATCAAGAACGACCTCATCCTCCTCGTCAAAATCGCTCTTATTCACCCTCTATCTCTCTCTGTTATCTCTCGCT